ACTACCTGGAACATGGCGCCGGGACACGGCGCCGGGACGCGGCATGTCTCTCAATGAATTTTCAGATAGTTGCTTGGCCCTATTTAAGCAGCACATGCTCTCGCGTAGCCCTTATGTATTCTTGTACCTATCATTCATTATAATCGTCCCATGTAAACGTAAACTATATGGACTTATGAGCCAGGATGAGCGCCGGACGTCCTGCAGAAGGCATTCAGAGGCAGGAGCGCAGCAAAAGATGCCTCGCGCACAGGTGTGAACAATGGTTCTCGTGTATCTGCCTCCTGGAGCAATCATGGAATTCACCCTTACCTTGCTTTTCCGACTGGTCGCAGTTCAATCATCCAAAAATGCAACATGCTCCAACATGAAGACATGAAGACCGCCCAGCAATCAAAGCTTAAGCCCTAAGCCCCTCAAGCCTCAAGCCTCAAACCCCCACCTGCCCTTTTTAGATCATGCTCTGGAGAAAATTTAACCCTACAGGAGGACCAGTCCAAATGGGCTGGCTAACCCACCAAGCCTTAACCCCAAGCTGCAGTTTCTGGTGTTTCTAGAAAGCTCATCCTGCCCCCCGACCCCCGGGGCGCCTGCCTCGCTCAAAAGATACATTGTACAAGTTTATACACAAATCCTGTGACTGTCAGGAAAAACTGAACATGTTAGTGGGTCTATTCAGTTCATGCATGCTCCTTTAACCCTGTGGGGACACATGGGTTCTCGGGCCAGGGCACAAAACAAATTCATTGCAAATCTCACGCTACTGCTGTCTTTAGGACAGACACATGTTTCTCCTGACGATGAACTGAGGATCTGGCAGCAACTGCAATGAATGCCTCTGGCCTGCCAGGTTGGGGACGAATTTGCTTGCTGTTCCTCCTTGGGGAGCTATACCCGGAATGGCTACCCACAAAGCTTCTAAAGCTTGCAAGAAGTGGGTCGAAGAATTTGATCGCCAAAAGGGCCAAAACCTTGTAAATCAAAGGGGTAACCCCAAAACAGGCCCGACACTTCAATATAACTACTGCAAAGTCAAAAGAGTGTACTGGGGAAACCCAAAAACAATGGGTCTAGTTTGGAGATAAGATTTCAACCTTTGGATTTTGCCGATGGCTCCAGTGCAACCTCTGGACTCATGGATTGCATCCGGCATAGGGCATAGGCACAGTGTTCAAGCTTAAAGTCTGTAGCTGCAGCATGCCTAGAGTTCCATCAGCGCATCACACCTCAACTCCCAGCAGTCCTGACACCTGCAAACACCACTCAACATGAAACCAACAACCTAGGCTTCTGTGACCTCTGGCCCTCCGTTTTGCTTCTGACGCAAAGTCATGGAAGTCATGGAGCTATGCAGTCGGACCCAAGCATGCTACGCCATCGGACGGAACCTCCCCTAGTCTCGGCACTCCACGGACCAACTGAGCAGATCTGAGGTCCCCAGTTGTAGTCAGCCTTCTCCACAGCTGTAAAGCGCATCCTCAGCAGGCGGCAATCTGCCTGACTAGGCTTGGAAACACACTCTGGGCATAGACAGCGCAAGCCAGTTGCTAAGCCCAGATTATTGCTCCAGTCTCCACGGGCTGTGTTTTTCCAAATATGAGCTCTAGTCTAAACTCCTAGTCTCCTCCTTAATAAACCCTATAGTAGTGCCCTATATCAGCCCACTTAAAGGAGTTTAGACTTTAGCTCATTTGGAAAAGCCTAGCTCGTGTGATACCACTGTCGCACTTGGTCCTCAGCATCCTTGGTAAGACGAAGTCTTTGCCAGTGGTTGCCTGTCCAGCAGATTGCAACATAGTGGCTGTCAGTTGAGAATGGAGCTGCCGCAGCCCAGGCTTGGCATCGCACGCCCTCGGAAACTTTCTTGGTCAAGAGGCACCCAACCAAAGGGCTTGCTGCCATGCACAAGATGGTGGCCTCCAGAAACCCACCCCAGTGTTGTCGCGGGTCGGCTGGGTCAGCATCTGCTAAGGTCATCCCTGCCACATACGCATCCAAATCAGACCACCCATTGTGTTGCAACCATTCTGTCACACTGAGCTCTTCGATCTTGGCATCTGTTGCAGCCAGGCGACGAACGAAATGCACCAGTTGTGACCTCCATCTCGGGCCCATGTTCTCCCCACAGGTGCCAGTAGGCAGACGAATGCCAGGCACGACCTTTGCCTTGTGCTCGAGTTCAAGGCCCAACGCAGTGAAAAGACAGTCCCCATCTCCTGCAACATCGCGAAGTGCATATGTTCCCGTCTTCAGGATCCCTGGGGAAGGGCGAACCCATGGCACACGCAGCTCAGGCGCAGCAGAAGCACAGGCAGCCGTGCTCGTGCTGCTACTGCTGCTGCTGTCATCAGAACTGCTGGAAGAACTCTTTCTACCAGAAGATTTTTCTGCAGTTCTCGAGCTTAAGTCTGTTGCACAAGACTTGTTCTTCGGCGCAGGCAGCGGCATGCCTTGGTGCTCCAATCGATTTGCAAACTTTGGCCCGGCTAAGGCCCAGGAAGAAAGACGCTGAAGAGTGTCTGCAGCTTGGCCACTGGCTGCAATTGGCAATTCTCGTCGACATGACAGTGTGTACGGCTTATTGTTCTTGTTCACTTTCTTGTCGGGGCTGTGGCAATAACATCGGACTTGAAAACCCCCAAACGGATGTCGCTTGCTTGGCTGTCGGAATGTAAAGAGCACTCTGATCTCATCAGTCAGCTGTACAAGTTTGCCCTTTGCAGCTCTCTGGATGATGTCGTCCACTTCACGTTGTGGAAGCAGAGGGCCTTCGACCTCCAAAGCCACGGATTTGAAACCTTGGGGCACTTGTGGCTTTGGGTTCTTTGCCTCTGCCTGGCCATCATCGTCATTATCATCATCGCTCTCGGAGCCTGCCTGCTGCAACACTTGCACTGAAGCATCTTGGCTTTCGGGACTGACAGCATCAAGATTCACCGATTCTGAGTTGATCGGTCTCACATCCAAAACGAATGGCATGTCCCTGTCCTCCTGCACTGGAGACAATCTGCAAGCTTCAACGCATAGGAACTTGACTGTCCAATTGTTCTTCGGCCACAAATTTCCTGCAAGCTCTGGCAAGCTGGAAAGCCACGTCTGTAAGCTGCAGCCGGGCTTTCTCTTCGGGACCAACGCCAGGCCTTCTGGAGTTGCTGGCTTCAGGAGCCTTGCGGCGTGCTATGATCAAAGATTCTCATGTATATGTCTACAAGATATCATTGCACGGCAGGTTTCTTGTTGAAGGCAGCCAAGGGTTTCAGGCTCGAACGGTTTGAAATCTTAAGGCGCAGGAGGCATTATGTCAGTAGGTATAGGGGCAGGTAGTAGCTTTGCTTTACCATTCACAATGTACGCACTTTCAAGCCTGTCGTAAAATTAGCTTCGTGCAACTACCTCTTCCCCTTTGCTTCCATCTTCTTATGCAACAGAAGGCTTAAACAAATTTCTGTTGGCTTTACTTGGCCAAGAAACACATCTTCCTCCAAGGCCATGAACGAAGCTCGCACAGGGCGGTCATAGGTGAGGTAGCAAATCTGATACCATAACCTTCTTGTCCCACCGATGGCGAGAGTCTGCTGTAGCTCCAGAACCACATGGTTTTCTTCTAGCAACAGCCTCTGCTTGCTTTTGACTTTGGCTGCTTGCTTAACGCCTTGGCCTGCAAAGTTCATGAGCACAGTTGCCAACGCTTGGGAGAGCTGCTGCGCGTGAGAGGACAAGACAAGTCCAGCTTGCCTTGTGGCACGGGCAGCTCTCGCTGCATCAGACTCCTTCGGCAGTTTCACTCCTGGTACGGGCTCAAGAACTGCATGCCGCCTTTCCCACTCGCTGACGCGTGCATCCCCAGTTCGGGCTGCGACTGCATGGACAGAAGCAGCCTCCTGAGCACCTTTGCTCATCCATGTGTGTTGCGCAAACAAAGTTTCAGAGCCCGGCGTGTGAGCGTCGGAACAAGCAGGCGGCGCCTTGATGCGCCAACTGTAGATGTAATCTCCCAAAGGGTCCAGTGGCCAAAGCTCCCGGTTGCAGTTGACATGGGACAAGAAATGCTTTCTGGACTCCCGCTCAGACTGTCGGGACTCTCTGCGTTCTGCATCAAACTGACTGCTTATCTGCTCCCACCGCATAAGCAGCAAATCAGCACGATCCTTCTGCAGTGTTCGACGGGATTCTTTTGGATCATAGTCACGCTGCAGCCGCCTGGCTGCCCTTCTTTTTTTTCTCAAGTGCCATGCCATTGGATCGTTCCTGCGACGCTTAGCGCGTGTTCCTCCCATCGCACGACGCCTCTGGGTCATTGCATGGGCCATGACCTGAAACTTGCGTTTCTCAGGCACTGAAAGCTGCCGGTACCTCTGTGCATCATCCTTGTTGGCCAATCGTCCCTGCACATGGGTTGCTGTGAAAGCTTGATACGCATTGATTTTCCTCCTTTTTCGTTGTTTCTTGCCAGGTTGCCCTGTTGCATTGCTTCGGCTCTTCAATGGCTGCTGCTCCTCAGACTGTTGCTCCTGTGCCAAATCGGCCCAAAGGTATGCGTGCAGATTTGCAGCCCCTTGCAGCTGCTCTATCATCCGCAACGCGCTTTGCTCGTGCAACTGAATTGGCCTGCCCAGATCACTGAGTCGACGCGCCCGTTTTTTCAGCCCGGAATGCCCAGCTTCTATCTCGTTTGTGCTCTCACGAGTGAGCTTGGCCACGGTCAGCAACTCAGCCTGACAGGCTGGCCCCAGGAGGTCGGCTTCCTGAGATGATGCCAGGACTGTCTTATCACTGTTACGGCTGGGGCTGGGCGAAAAGCAGCCCACTACCCAGGATGTTGCCTATGAATAGCAGCACCTGGCATCTCATCTGTCTTTAATGATGATGATAAGTGCGAAATGCCAAATCCTCCAATCCTCCTTATGGCCTTCTACTGTCTGCTGTTGGTAGGAACAAACAGGCCACAGGCATCACTTTAACTTTAATACCCCCAGCATGGGTTTCATAAGCTTATCCGCCCAGATGCCGTTGGGTACGCTGAGAGCATCATCTTCCCGAAGGAATCCAGCAGTTCTTTGCCTGTGCTGACATCTTCCAAAACATCTGCTGCGGACGACGAATCCTTCATGACATTGAAGAGACAGTATGGGTACACTCTCTGTTCAATGATCCCAAGAGCATAGAGGGATCCTTGAAGTCGAGTCATCATCCGATACAATAACAATTGCAGAGCATCAGACTTGCTTGCTTGGAACATGTCCGAGAGATGGCACGGTGCTTCCCACACATCGCGGGTCGAAGACTCCAAGCAAGAGTGCAGGTCCTTGGCTTCGAGGGCCGTCTGACAAGGATAAACACTGCTTTCGGAGCTGCCAGGCAATTCCTGGCACATCTGCTTGTGCTCGTAGTCATGGCCACAGCGTCCCACGGCTGCCCGTTTGAGTTCATCAGTTCGCGCCAAAGTTCGGACTGCCAGATAAAGGTTCTGGGCAGCATCTGAACGATGCAAGTAATCAAGCACGTCATTGTCAAAGGGCATATGCAACAAAAGACTGTGAGTGCAAAGAAGTTGCAAGATGTGTCCACCCGACGCGTGTTGACCTTGCCAACTGCGCCGAGGGAAGTTGACAGGCGCAGGGCTCAGTAATGCAGCTATGCCATGTGGTTGTTGAAGTTTTGCCCGGAAGCTCTCGATTCCATCTGGACAGCACTCGGGCGAACTGCAGAAGTGCTGCAGTTCCGTCTGCAAGCGAACATCTCCATTTAAGACATGGTCCCACACAAACTTCCTGCGGGCCTCCGCCTTTGTCCTCGGAGGATGGGGCCAAAGAACACTAGCCATGCGGGCCCGCCATTGCTGCACTTCATCAGGCGGCTGCCCACAGTAAATCTGGGCATTCTGGAGGGCAAATGTCATTGCACGTTGCAGGGCAACTCTTGTAAAGCCTGTTTTTTGACGAAATGACAAAGTGGCATTCACGAGAAAACTTTCTGTAGTTGGATCCACAGCAAGCACATTTTGTTCGGTCGTGCGATACCGATGTAAACTGCATCGCAGCAAGGTTGATGGAACTCCACTGTCGAGCTCGATGGAACGCTCGGCTGCCAAAGCGGACCGATGCAAATCTGAATGACGCAGCACCTAGGACGCTTGCAGGGTTGGGGGTCACAGCATGGCAAGCTAAAATGAACGCCCACTGTCACTCCTGCACGACCAAGCGCAACATACTTACGGGCAATGATCTTGCCTTCAGTCTGGAAACTAGAACCTTAGACCTGCAGTGACCTACAGCGCAAAAGAACCACACGCAACATGCTCTAGCCGTGGCCCTAGCCTCTCTTGTCCGCTGAACATACTCACTTGCTGGGTTCTTTGTTCCTGTAGGTTCTTGTCAGCGCTACTGGTTCCTACTAATAATAAGCTCAGGAGCAATCTTTCTTGCGAAGACTTTGAGCATGCTCGCCTCCTCACTACTCCAACACATGCTGTCCACGATGGCCTTGCGCACAATCGGGCCCTGCTGGTTTTCCATTGGCACCAGAGGAGTTGAGAGCGTTCCATGCAACAGGTGATAGCGCGGCAGGTCGCCGCGGACCCCCGGTTTCAAGTAAAGACACATGCCAAGTCTAAGCTTGCTTGCCATTACCTTTGAGCTTTCCGACGAATACAAAAGGTCCCCGGTCTCCTGCAGATATGCCGCTGTACAGTATGTTGGCGTTTCGTCGTAAAGACGCTCCCAGCAGAAGAGTCGGGCCTCCAGCAGCCCGGTTTCTACACCATGAACAACTGCAGACAACAACTCCTTGAAGCTTTTCCTCTGCTGTTCCTCTGCAAGCGACGCACGTATGATAGCATCTCGTGGCTTTGTCTTTCTTCCGTTTACCGTATGTTCCACAGGCGCGGGTGGCCGAGGTCGGCTCTGTGGCTGCGGGCTCTGTTGGGGCTGGCCTGGGCCAGCTGCTTCGGCAGCTTCTGCAATCTGGTCCTCCTCTGAACTAGAACTGGGAAACATGGCTTGGAAAAATCCGTTCGCGAGGTGTGAAACATTTATTCTCTGCTGTCCTGCTACACGACTTCCAATTCAACCGCTTGACTGCCACCTTCATTCAAATTGCAAGTCTTAGGTGATGATGCTCATTGCCCTGAAACCATGCTGTAAAGACCCAGTGCTATCAGGATGTCCATAGTCACCTCATTCATCTCCTGGGCATGACTCACATTCAAACGCAAAGCCACGTGCTGCACTGCACTTGCCTTGCAGCCATATGGCGTACGAGAGATCGCAATTTCACAGCACACAGAAGAAAATGTGGAATGTTTCTGGCACGCAACCAACCACTGCCCCTTGATAACAATTCCGTGATTCCAGACCCCGAAGGCTCATATAGGCCGCTTGTAAGCATAATGACTTATGACAAACAAAAAATGCACGCCAAGCCTTTTTCATGCTTGTTGCGCAGTGCAGGTGCTAGCAACATTGAATCTAAATAAGTTGAGGGCCCTCATAGACACCTAAACCATCCTAACCCCAAGCGCCCAAAATCATCTGTTAAAGAATCAGGGCGTTCAAGCAGATTCCGATGCGACAGGTGTTTGTGGGCAGTTTACCCACCAGTGCAGCCAGCCTTAACATGAAATCTGCCCCTGCATTTAGTGTAGCGATTAAATGCAAGCGGGGTCTGGGCCCCTAAGCCCTATTCTATTTCTAAACCGTAGACCCTCAGCCCTAAACCCCACCCAGGCACCAGATCGAGAACTCTGAAATGGAGCCCCAAATGTGACAGGTTGGGGGTATAGGTCCTGAAAGGTTGCTCCTGACTCTCAACCCTGAACTTGAAACCCACGTTTTTTGTTTTGGCAAATTCCAATGTGGCTTGTTCTACGCTGTCGCTTTCAGCTTTCCTGCAAGCAATCTTTTACCGAACCCAGCTCTGGAGGCAAAGCCTATGCAACATATTGGTGGCTTGTATGGGGGCTATCAGGCTATCACTGGGTATAACAACGTATTAGAAAATATTTAGATAGATTTCAACATAGTAGTTTCCACTGGACTCATCACGTGGTCATAGATGGGGACAGATCAAAGCCCACAAGTGCAGACGCTGCCTCATCCATACAGCAGCCATCTTCGAAGCCAGAACCTCTCTTTGTCCTGCGTTGGGAAGCTGTTGATAGCAAAAGTCCGACATGGCCCTAACTACCCCATACACAGGGAATTAATTATGCTGGTTTAGTTTCCTTTGTCACGCAAGAGGCTTGGTGTGAAAAGTGTTGGGAGCCCGTTGCTGCAGGCTGCCCAGAAGGTGGCCTACAGGCAAGACTTGGATTTGCTTAGACCTCGATGCCTGGATGAGGCTCCTCGGACGGTGCAGTCACGGTGAATCGTGGTAGTCTCCATAAATAGGGGCACCCCAAGATAGATACCGAAATCCTCACAATCTGGATGCCGGAAGCAAGATTTTTGTTTAGGCAACCCAATTCATGTGCCGTATCGTGCCAGGATTATGTCGGCATAGAAGAGGTGCGTTTGCAGCTGTTGGGGTTTTCCAGGTTGACGACCACGAACTTGTATGGGGTCATATAGGGTTTTGTAGGGTTATACGGGATAATATAGGGGTTACGGAGGGCTACTCGGGGTCCTATATGGGTTGTATAGGGTTGCATTCGGCTATGTAGGGGATTAGACAGGCTATCTAGGGTAATATTGGGGCTGTAGAGGGCTCAGGGCAAAGAAAACGGAAACCATTATTTAGGGCTTAGGGCTTCCCAAAAAATGAGGGGGTATTTGTGGGCAAATAATAGGGCTCCCCTTATTCCGGAAAGGACCGCAGGTCGGTTATACGAGTCAGAGCTCAAACTCGTGAAATGTGATGTATGCAGCGGACTATAGAATTGCACGGTTTGCTTATGGGGGGGTCAGGGAAACTTGGGAAGTATGCTGGATTGAGGGTTTTAGGTGTAAGGCTTCACAAGGTACGAAGCCTCTCCTAGGGACCCAAACCGGGAACCCCAACAACATTTACAGTTCAGACTTAGACCCTAGCCCCAAACCCTATACCTTATAGTAGGAACATGACTTGACTGGAGGTCCCCATCAGCATGTTTTTAAAAGTGGAACCACAAGAGGGGCCTCCTCTTACTTATTTCGATCCCCGAAAGTCAGTAAACAATAGCTGTTTCCTGCCTCTTCTTCCTCAGTATAGGGATGCCATTGCGGAGTTGTAGGGACATCAGTGACAAGGCAGGGGCGTCGGTCTGAGAAACATGGACTTTTTAGAATCTTTATGCCTCAAAGCCCAAATTCCTAAATCCAGGTCCTAACTCCCGAGCCCAAAGACCTCAATCCTAGCCCTCTATCTGAAATAAACCCTCCAGCCTGAATCCTAAACCCTCTACTACAAAATCCCTTTCAACCCCAACTGCTCAATCTGAATCCCCGGCCCCTAGACTCCGAGCCCCAAACCGTATGGCCCAAACCTTAGGCCCCAAGCCCCACATCCTAAGCCCAAGCCCTTAGGAAACCCAAGATGCAAAGGGGGCCCTCAAAAATGAAGACGCAGCCACCGATGCCTCCATCCCTCCCCAACTTCCAGATACACCACTTCGGCGCCCGTGGTGAACTCACCAAGCCGCAAGGCATTGCCCAAGGGTGGCTGCCCTCAAGTCCAGGAGGTTTCTTTCTGACTGTAAAAACTATTCTGGGTTGCTGTTAAGGAACTTAGCTTAAGTTGCTATATTGGGGAAACCATATTAGGTACTATGTATACCCATTATGGTAACTTAATTCAAGTTCCTTAACAGCGACCCAGTATTGCAATGCAGTGCATGTTGCATGGATAAAGTTACATGGGGATCTCATTATGATCTACCAAAAGACATAATCTATCTAATTGAGGGGAACTATAGGATCAACCGAAGAAACTTGCCATCACACGGTTACTCATAACACAGCACAATTCCCACCACATCATCACCAGACAATTCAGCTGAAACCTCAACATGTGATGCATCAGCAGGCCTTCATCAGGATATGTGGTCCACCACTTGTCTTGGCAGCCTGAAAAACAACGGACCATCTTAAGCAATCAGCTGTTCAAGCAGGATTCTTTTGCACGTGTTGCAAGCAGAGCCCGGTCATCTGACTTTAGAAAAAGGTATGGTGTTGGTTTCCAGGGTCCATGGGAGTACCCGCTTTTTTCATCCACATGCAAGAAAAAAGGAAAATATACATAGCTATGTACATACCCATACATAACATTATCAAGAGAGAGAGAGAGAGAGAGATATATATATACATACACACATCCACTGGTTTTTCATGGCCGATCCTGTAATACGTTCATGTCCTCGAAGCCCTAAGCCCTCAGCCTTGAACTCTGAGCCCTAACCCGTCAACCCTAGATTCTAGACACTGAGCCCTCAGCCCCAAACCAAGCCTCATAACCCGAAGCCCTTAACCCTGAGCCAAGCGCTCTCACACCCAAAACCTCTGGAAATCGACTGAAGCTGCGGCGGTTTCAGAGCACTCGGCCCCTTCC